CGAGGCGGGGGGCCGGGGGGAGCCTGCCCTGACGGCCAGTCCCGTCCTTCTCGCAGCCGAGCTGGTGGTGGACAAGGCCATGGAGCTGAAGTACGTGGGGGGCGTCTATGGAGGGAACATTAAACCCACGCCCTTCTTGTGCCTGACGCTAAAGATGCTGCAGATCCAGCCCGAGAAGGACATCATTGTGGAGTTCATAAAAAACGAAGACTTCAAGTAAGTTGTACTGTGATTTTTCCTTCGTTGAGGTTGTTGTGCCGAGGGGAAGTGCCCAAAACAGCCAGGAAAACCTCAGTGCAGGGTTTAGCTCTCAGTGTGCTCTGATAAACTGTGCTTGCTCAAAACCAAGCTTTTCTTCTTGCTTTCAAGACTGCTTTCCTTGCCACCTGATATGTTGGAAGGGCTCATCTTTGTGGCATGTGCTCTCTCTGATAATAAACCTCTGCCTGAAGTATTTGGGATGAGCTACATTAAGGGATTCACATTCATTTACTTTTTCTTCAATACTTCTATCTTTGTTAGTCATAATGCCCCCATGCAGCCATTATGTATGTAAAGTATATATAGAGTTTTGACAGCATCGAGGAAGTGATGGAGTAAATCTACATGGTTGTGTATTCTGGCTAGTGTACTGATTTTCCTCAGAAACTTGTGGGAAAAAAAAGAAAAAAACTCTTCTTTATCCAAACTGCTAAGTGTGCAGGAAGCCGAGATCCATGGAAAGGTTTCCTTTCCAGGTATGTCCGAATGCTTGGAGCACTGTACATGAGACTGACAGGCACTGCCATCGACTGCTACAAGTACCTGGAACCGCTGTACAATGACTATCGGAAAATTAAAAGTCAGAACAGAAATGGGGGTAAACACTCTTATGTCTATTTAACAGAATAAATCTTTAAAATTGTGACATTACCTGTTGACATAAGTTGTCTGAAGTGTTCTATCTTTACTTTAGCCTCTAGTGTTAATTTTGTCTTTCAAATGCTTTTTTTCACCCCCAGAATTTGAGCTGATGCACGTGGATGAATTTATTGATGAGCTACTCCACGAAGAACGTGTTTGTGACATCATCCTGCCTCGACTGCAGGTTGGGAAATGTAGATGGTTATGGAATTCCTAACTGCACCAAGTTCAGTAGCTGGATCAGCTGCTAGCTTGTTGTGTAAGCTGTAGTTGCCTCCTTAGGTGTTTGTCCTTACTTTGGTTATGTTGAATAAAGTTGCCATTTCTCCTAGAAACGGTATGTTCTGGAAGAAGCTGAACAACTTGAGCCTCGTGTTAGTGCTCTGGAAGAAGATATGGATGATGTAGAATCTAGTGAGGAGGAGGAAGAAGAAGATGAAAAGGTTGGTGAACTGTTTTGGAAAGAAATAGTTCAAGCTGAACCCCTTTAGGACACTTCACAGTCTATGACAAACATTTGAGGGGAGGCGCCAGGAGGCTGCTGGCAACTCTTACCTCCCCATATAACATATTTTCATATAAGCAGCTTGTGAAGACTTGGACCCATGTTGGCATGTTTTCCTGTCTCTTGAATCCCTGAAAATCTGTTGTGCGTTAAGCTTATTTAGCTCATTTGATTTACATGCATACGTAGTAGAGACAACTGAAGGTGATGATGGAAGGTCCTGTGACCATCAGTCAGTCAGTACTGCTGTACTTCTTCAGAACCAACACTATAAGTGGCTGCTTGAATTTCCAGTTGGCAGTTTTGGACAGCACCCCTCATTCCTGAATCAGAAATACTTGGGAATGGGGAAGCTTGGCTGCCTGACTTTTGCAATTTATGTTCATTGTTCAGAAACCTTTACTGATAGCATAAAACTTTGCTGAAACAAGACTTAAGATCCTCCCCCAACTTGTTCACAGCTGGAACGGATCCCATCTCCTGACCACCGCAGGAGGGGCTACAGGGACCTGGACAAGCCCCGCAGATCTCCAGTGGTGCGGTACCGGCGGAGCCGGAGCAGGTCCCCGAGGAGGTGAGGTGACTCTTCCTTGCCCAGTATTTTTACCGGTTGTGCTGCAGATGGCTGGAGCACAGCAGTGAAGTTGGCAGTTCTGCCAGAACCTCCACACCTCACAGTTCCTTTAGCACTTCCTGAAGTGAGGAGTTGCAGTGCACACAGTCAACCCCTCTGCCTGTTTCTCCAGTCATCCTCTACCTCTTGAACTTGCTGGCCAGCTTTAGCTAAATTTGACAATACAGTGAAGATGGCAAAGAGATCCAAGTGCTTTTTTTTTCATGTTAGCCAGAGGCTGTAGAGAAAATCCTATTAATTGCTCTGATATTAAACCAGGAAAAATTCATCACTAAACTCTTGCTCACTGCATAGTACAGTCCTAAGCAGGCCCATGTGTAGCAGGCCAAGAACACTAATGGGAAGTAAAATCCCTGGTGTTGTTGCTGAAGGATGTGGGAAATTAAAAAGCTGTTTTGCTTATGATTTTTAGTGATTTTTTTGCTTTTCTCCCCCACTTGCAGGCGCAGCCGCTCTCCAAAGAGAAGAAGGTACTGACTCTTTAATTCTCTTATTTAAGCTGAGCAATGTGCATTTGTAGTACAGCTCTCTTACAAGCTGCCTTTCCCTCAGCCCATCACCGCGCCGGGAGCGGCATCGCAGCAAAAGCCCGAGACGGCACCGGAGCAGATCCCGGGAGAGGCGCCACAGATCGAGATCGAAATCTCCAGGTATTTCTGCCACTTCCAGAATAACTCTGGCCAGTCTTTATCAGGAGCACATCCACTGCAAGAAAAATCTCTGTCACCATATTGAGATGGTAGCCCAGGTGTTAAATCTGGCTGATAAAACTGCTCACATGAAGGCAGAGCTGGGGAACTCCTTTAATGGCTGCAAAAAGATACCTGCCAGGAAGTTAATTTGAGTGCCTGGTTAAAGGCACCAGGTTGTTCTGGCAATATTTAGCACACTTGGTCACTAGAAGCAGATTGTATTAGCAAAACAACAAAGAATTCCAGTGGCAATGGAAATAACTATTGCTTTTTTATCTCACAGGGCATCACCGTAGTCACAGACACAGAAGTCATTCCAAATCACCTGAAAGGTAAAGGCTTAGCCTATTTCTAAGTGCAATTAGGGAATTAAAGATATGTTTTACAGTATTGGCTTTTTGTTTTTTCTGTTTCAGATCTAAGAAAAGTCACAAAAAAAGTCGGCGAGGGAATGAATAATAGACAAAACCCAGCTCACCGTTTAAGGATCTTGAACTGCAGTCTACTGCTGTCCTATTTGCTCTGCAGGACAGCTGGCTCTGTACTGGCTGCTTTAGCAGTCCCTTTCTTTAATCTTTCTCATTTTCTTGTCTTGGGTTTTTTTTTGTACTGGCTGCTTTAGCAGTCCCTTTCTTTAATCTTTCTCATTTTCTTGTCTTGGGTTTTTTTTTTATTAAAGATAAGCTAAGGATACTTTTTATGTAGTTACTCACCCTTGTGATAGAATTTGAAAGTTGTTTTTTAATTTTTTTGAAGCTTGTAAAAACTTAATGAAGAGCAATAAAAAAAGGTTTGTCTTTAAAGGCTCCTTTCATAATATTTTGTTGACAAGCAGGGACAGGCAAGTTTATTCCTGAACTTTGCATTTGTGACCAGCACATGAAACAACAGCAGCATGGAGAAAAATGAGTCTAGTTCTTGTGCCACTTGTTAAAACTGCTCATCTTTCCAAGATCTCCACATTGAAGTCATTTATATTATTCCTGTTAAAGCAAGCATGCATACAAATAGGGAAGAGGAAAAAGTCTTATGTCCTTTTTTTGCAGTTTTATTTTTCTTTTTAAAAAGTTTTTTGGCACTACATAGTTCTGTAAAGAATAGAAGTGACAAATTTTTCAACACATGAAATCCCCTTCTAATTTTATTTTTTTTAGAACAATATATATAAAGTCTGAAGCAACCAAAGTATGAATACAGCTAATAGAAAATAAAGAACTTAATTTTAAAAATTCTCTCTCTTTACAGTTTATCAAGATAAAACAAAACACAATTCCCCTTAAAAATAGGGTAATAAAATAGATGAAATTTGTATCACTCAGTTTTGTGATACTAGTAAAAACTATAGTTCATATCTATGTACAAATGATACAGTTTAAAAACAGTCTTAAATAATCTTGTATCTAAACATGTTGCATTAAGATTTTAAATCAGAACCTGAATTTCTTCCTCCCCTCCTCCCCCCACCCACCCACAATCCCATCCAATTTCACTTTTTCTGTTGAATGTAATTCAGATTCAAGTGTGGATGTCCTTGAGACAGAAGCGAGAACCGCTGGTTACTCTGCATCAGTGGACCAGCTAAAAAAAATGGATGACAATTACTTCAGCAAATCACATATTTAACAGTGCTTGGCTATTCAGTTTACTAATCTAACTTAGAAAAAAAGCCATTGACTAGACTGACACAGATGCTACCTGTACAACTATCCCATTTAATGGGACAATCCAGAATTACTTTAATCCTATCTCCAAAATTCCCTAACAATCACAAACATTATTTTGTTGCATTACTTCAATTATTTAACAAAAGTAATTTCACGATTTTAAGTAAATTCAGTTATCACTTGGAAACCTTGCTAGAGCCAATAGACACAATTTTGAAAAAGGATTTGGTGCCCACATCCATGTCTACACCAGGTGACCCCAGCAACATGGAAGCTGCACCTCCTCCAAGTCAAATTTGAGCACTGTCTCTTTGGTAGTGGAGGTCTTTTTTCTACAGCTTTTCCCCATCCTGCCAGATGCTGAACACCTTTACCTTTCATAAACATCAGAGGTGAAATCAAGTCAGTCCTTCCCAGTTTCCTGATGAAGTGAACCTGATCTAACTTTGCCACCAGTGCTACTCTGACTGAATGGGCTGGACTAAACCTCCAGAGGCCCCTTCCAACCTCAATTATTCTATGGTCTTGCAAGTTTTTACCTATGTAAGTCATTTCACAAAGCAAGGTACAAAAGCCAAATAAAGTGAATTAGGACAAAAATTTCTTCATATTCTGAACACACTCATGGGCCAATCTTAACCTCTTCTGAAGCAGAGGCAACTCAGAACATTTAGTAAATGTCAGTGAATTGTGCTCTACAGTGAGCCAGCAGCAACAGAGATAAAGAGGATGTAAGTGCAACAAGCTGCAAACTGGCTCAGAATTTTATTTTAACCCTTCCCTCCCACAAAGATTTTCATTCATCCACAGAAGAAGCTGAAGCGCTGATTTGACTCTGGTATCCATTCTGGTTCAGGGAGGCTAGTAAGTGACACATGATTTCTTGGCTTTTAAAGCCTTTGAGACAGTACAGAGACATGGTGCATGAGCTGTTGATTCACATACTGGTTCTAGTACCTTGAGGGTAGAAAGGTTTGTTCGGTGGGTAGCTGGCATTTCCCTGCTGCATGTAGTTCTGAGGCATATTGTAAGGCCACGCTCCTCGGAGGAGAGGAAAATGGGTAGGGGTCCCATGGTCCCAAGGGACAGAAGGAGGGTTCATTTTACCAAACTGTCCTTGGAAACCCTGATCTATTTTTCAATTGAAAGGGAAAAGCACATTGCAAGTTGAAATAATTAAACAGTAAGTCACAAATACAATTTACATCTTAAATAACAGTTTGCAGGGGACTTAATGAGATTAATCTGATGTGCTACTTTTTTTAAAAAATGTATATCAGTACAAATTACCACCTAAATTACTTCATTATTCACTATAATAGAATTATTGGGAAGAAAGAGGATGAATCAATATTACAATCGAGCACTACAATTTCACTATTTTTATGACTTTCTCATGATGAAAAATACAAGGTCTGAAGAATGTTCAGAACTACTGCCTGATCTTACACAAATATCCACTATTACTGACAGAGCTGTGACATGAAAGCTGTTATCCTACTGCAAGAAATAACTCTCAGATGTAAACTGGAATTTCACTAATACTTACATGCTTAAGAAACTTGCTATCTAGATCACTGGACTGACTTAAAAAAAATATTTTTAGAAAGAAAAATAAAAACATTGGAAATAAGTATACAAATTGTAAAGCTGCTCCATTTACAGTTCTGATATCACTGCAACATTAAGGATGAGAAATCAAGCATCCAAGGAGGCAGGATGCACAACATGAGGCACAGGTCTGGAGTATGCATGAAAGAGTTGTCTGTCCTGATACTACTAATGATCCTACTTCTGATCAGTTGTCTACTGAAAAGAAAATTAGAAGTAGTTCCTTTCAAGTCAAGGTTATGTGATCCAGGACAAAGTTTCCTCAAACTTACTGTTCTTTAATTGTCCTGAGGAGGTAAGAAACCATGCTTCAAACAGACAGCAGACAGCTCATCTCTATTGTGCATTCCCCTTAATGGCATCTAAGCCAAAAAGGAAATAAAACTGATTCAAATTGAAAGAGGAAAATTACTATGATTGGGAACTAGGAAAATGAATGTGATGAAGTTGGAAATTGATAGAAGATGAGGGATGGGAAAAAAATACTGTGACTGACAGCATATGGAGAAGGAATTAGAATTTATGGAGCTTGTCTGAAAGAAGGCAGCTACCTCAGTAAGGGACATGGATTGGAAAGAGCTGCTTGAGGGAAAGACAAAGCTGAAGAAGGGGATAGATGAGAAGATCTGAAATGGAGAGGTAGGGACAAAGCACACTGGAGACACAGAAAACACACATGTACAAGTTCCCGTATCCTTTAAAATATATTCCCCACAAAGCATTAAATAGAAAATAATGTATCTCCAGCATCTTAACATATGTTAGAAGCCCACTGGTGAATTATTCCTCATCTAGAACTGTAGACTCAGCTGAAAATCTTATGTTACTGACAATTCTATTATTAGTGCAGAGAAAGGCTGGGCAGGAGACTTAGAATTTTCATCTTAGGATGAACAACTGCACCAGTACATTGCATTATGGATTTATTTTTTTAAACATAGGAAGACTTACACACTCATAAATCAGACCACCACCACCATGGTTAATGATATAAAGGTTAGCAATTAAGATTTAGGGGATGCCACAGTTCATGTTGCAGAGAAAACTGAATGGGCTTTTATCATTATATCCTGCTTTTCCTCAGCCTCAAACATACCAATGTACTTGGTTTTGCTATGAGGCAAGAGGCTGCTGCCCACTTGTCACAGGAAAACGTCAGGAATCAACATTGGGATTATGGAAGTTAAATGTGGCAGGATAAGCCACAGGAAAAAGCAGAATGGATAAGATAATTTTATATTGTACTAAAGGTAAGGAGACAATATTCAACTAGCACAACTGTAATTTTGCCAGTCTCTGAGTTCATAGCTGCAGTCTCAGCATTTGTCTAATAAATTATGTAACGATGTGTTGATCTTAGAGGTCTTTTCCAACCTTAATGTTTCCATGATTGTCTGATATCAGGAATCTATTATTTGTCACCACATTCACAGCAATGTGAGTGATTTAAACAATGATGAGGAGGTTTCTCAGTTGAATGCAGGATTTCTCACTGTTGCACAGCCATTAATGGCAGACATGAGTAAGGCCTAAAAGTTACGGCGATCAATTCTAATTTTTTCCTATGAAAATGTTAAGACAGGTGAAAGTCATGATATGGTTTCTTAAACATCATATTTTTATCAAACAAGCTGAAAGAGAATTAGCTGTTCCTGTAACACCTAACACTTGGACACAAAGTGTGAGAGGTTTGATACAAGAGAGAAGAGTTACCTGAATTCCCCACAGTGCCATTGTTCACCAGTGAGTTTGCAGTCACAGGATTGTGCCAGTGTCCCTCATGAGAAGTGCTGGGGATTCCCATGGGCCTGGCAGCAGGCTGTGCAAAGATGATACTGGGATCATTCAAGCTTACACTGCTCTGGTTATTTGTGGTGCTGCTGCTGCCAGATCTCATAGAAAATGGAACATTTGTAGAATGAGGAGGGTTACCCGGTGCAGAGTGAATAACAGGCCCATGAATAGGCCAAGAAGTGTTGGGAAGCTGAATTTGGTGGTGATGGTGCATCTGAAGTAGTCCCAGGTTATGCAAGGTGGAATACTGACCTGGGGGAGATTGGGGAAAGTTAAACAAAGGCAGCTGGACCTGATGGGGTGGCTGTGCACCCTGCTGTGGCTGAGGAACGTGCTTAGACTGGGATATTGATTGTGGCTGAGTCTGGTTAATGGAGGCTGGCTGAGAGGAATTCTGTGGGAATTGCTGAGGTTGTGGAGAGTAAGATGACTGATGCGAATCAGACTGGAGGAAAAAAAAAAAAGCATGTATTTCTGATTAGTTCACTGACTATTTAATGGTGTTTTCTTTAATAAGCACCCACAGTATTA